TCCCCCAAAATCGAAAAAGAACACAACCCCCTTTATCACGTCACACGCACCCCAAACAAAACCTGTCATCACGTACACCCCCCAGGAACACAAAAAATGTTCACGCCCCACGAAAACCAGAAAACAACAACCTGTCACACGTTATTTGGGAACCGGGAACACAAAAACCATCAAACTTTTACTTTTCCAACAAAAACCCAAAAAAACTTTCAACTCACTCCGGAAAAAAGGGAAACACAAAAATTTTAAACCCGTCATATCGCAACAGACAAAAACCCAAAACCTATAAACCGAACACAGCCGGGAACATAACAATTTAAAACACTCACGGCCTCCCCAGAACACAAAAACCATCAACAGTCATCGGAACGGAACACAAAACCTAACACGTAAACTACCCAAAAACTGGGACCAAACAACCGTATCACGTCACAAAGGGGAACAGGGAACAAAACAATTTCATCAGTCATTGCAACCGGGAAAAAAAAACCCTTTTCATCACGCCCTTATCGAAAACCAGGAACACATACCAGTCAAAAACCACAACCTCAAAATAAGGAACCAAAAACGATCCGTACTATCGCTCGGGAAACAACCCCCGCATCACGTCAACAACCGGAAACAAAAACCTTTCATCACTTCAAAAACGAACCAAACAAAAAAGTCATACTAAACCGCAACCGGAACAAACACCCTTTTAAATCCCTAGAACCAAAACACAACACCTGCATCACGTCCATTTAGAAACAAAAAACCTATTTTTTTTTTCACAACCAAAACACAAACTTCTCAATTTATAGCAACCAAAGGAACAAACAAACTGTATCACGCACCCCGGGGACCAAAAAAATTTCACAAAAAACTGTATAAAGTTCCTTCAAACCAAAAACACAACAATACACGCTCCCTCAACAGAACAAAAACTTTCATCCGTCACTTTTTGAACCAGGAACACAAACCTGTAAAACGTCACAGGGGAACCCAAAAAAAAACCTTTTACACGTCACTATTGCAACCAGGAACACAACAACCAGTCATTACGTCAATATCGCAACTAGGAGACCAAACCTATCATAACGTCGCGATCGCAACCAGGAACACAACAACCTGTCATCACGTCACTACCGGAACCTGGAACACAACAACATGTTATCACGTCGCTATCGCAACCAGGAACACAACAACCGGTCATCACGTCAATACCTCAACTAGGAACAGAATAACCTGTCATCACGTCACTATTGCAACCAGGAACACAAGAACCTGTCATCACGTCACTATCGCAAATAGGAGCACAACAACCTATCATCACGTCGCGATCGCAACCAGAAACACAACAAACTGTCATCACGTCATTACCGGAACCAGGAACACAACAAAATGTCATCACGTCACTATCGCAACCATGAACACAACAGCAAGTCATCACGTCACTACCTCAACCAGGAACAGAACAAACTGTCATCGCGTCACTTTTGCATCCAGGAACACAACAACCTGTTATCACATCACTATCGCAACTAGGAGCACAACATCCTGTCATCACATCACTGCCGGAATCAGGAACACAACAACATGTTATCACGTCGCTATCGCAACCAAGAATACAACAACCTGTCATCACGTCACTATCGCAACCAGAAAAAAAACAACCTATCAACACGTCACTACCGGAACAAGGAACACAACAATCTATCAACACCTCACTATCGCAACCAGGAACACAACAACCTTTCATCACGGCACTACGGAATCAGGAACACAACAACCTGTTATCACGTAACTATCGCAATCAGGAACACAACCGCCTGTCATCATGTCACTACCGCAACCAGGAACACAACAACCTGCTATCACTACACGATCGCAACCAGGAACTCAACAACCTGTCATCACGTCACTATCGCAACAAGGAAAACAACAACCTGTCATCACGTCACTATCGCAACAAGGAACAGACCAACCTGTCATCACGTTACTATCGCAACCAGGAACACAACAACCTGTCATCACGTTACTATTGCAATCAGGAACACAACAATCTTTCATCACGTCACTACCGGAACCAGGAACACAACAATTTATCAACACGTCACTATTGCAACCAGAAAACAATAACCTATCAACACGTCACTACGGAATCAGGAACACAACAACCTGTCATCACGTTTACAATCGGCATCAAGGAACCAACAACCTGTCATCACGTTACTATCGCAATCAGGAACATAACAACCTATCATCACATCACTATCGCAACAAGGAACACAACAACCTTTCATCACGTTACTTTCGCAACCAGGATCACAACAACCTGTTATCACGTCACTATCGCAACCAGGAACACAACAACCTGTCATAACGTCACTATCGCATCAAAGAACACAACAGCCCGTCATCACGTCACTATCGCATCCAGGAACACAACGAACTGTCATCACGTTACTACCCCAACCAGGAACACAACAACCTGTTATCACGACACGATCGCAACCAGAATCACAACAACCTGTCATCACGTCACTATCGCAACCACAAACACAACAACCTATCATCACGTCACTACGGAACCATGAACACAACAACCTTTCATCACGTCACTATCGCAACCAGGAACACAACAACCTGTTATAACGTCACTATCGCAACAAGTAAAACCACAACCTGTTATCACGTCACTATCGCAACCAGGAACAGAACAACCTGTCATCACGTTACTATCGCAACCAGGAACACAACAACCTGTCATCAGTTGCTATCGCAATCAGGAACACAACAACCTTTCAGCACGTTACTACCAGAACCAGGAACACAACAACATTTTATCATGTCACTATCGCAACCAGACACACAACAACCTATCAACACGTCACTACGGAGCCAGGAACACAACAATCTATCAACACGTCACTGTCGCAACCAGGAACACAAAAACCTATCAACACGTCACTATCGGAACCAGGAACACAACAACCTGTAATCACGTAACTATCGCAACCAGGAACACAACAACCTGTCATCACGTTACTATCGCAATCAGGAACACAACAACCTTTCATCACGTCACTACCGGAACCAGGAACACAACAACATTTTATCACGTTTCTATCGCAACCAGGAACACAAGAAATAGTCATCACGTCACTACCGCAACCAGGATCACAACAACCTGTTATCACGTCACTATCGCATCCAGGAACACAAAAACCTTTCATCACGTCACTACCGCAACCAGAAACACAACAAGCTGTCATCACGTCACTATAGCAACCAGAAACACAACAACCTGTCATCACATCACAATCGCAACCAGGAACACAACAGCCTGTCATCACGTTTCTATCGCAACCAGGAACACAACAACCTGTCATCACGTCACTATTCCAACCAGGAAATCAACAACCTTTCAACACGTCAGTACCGGAACTAGGAACTCAACAACATTTTATCACGTCACTATCGCAACCAGACGCAACAACCTATCAACACGTCACTACAGAGCCAGGAACACAACAATTTATCAACACGTCACTGTCGCAACCAGGAACACAACAACCTATGAACACGTAACTATCGCAACCAGGAACCAACAACCTGTCATTACGTCACTACCTGAACCATGCAGGAACACAACAGCCTGTCATCGCGTCACTATCGCAACCAGGAACACAACAGCCTGTCATCACGTCACTACCTCAACCAGGAACACAACAAACTGTCATCGCGTCACTATCGCATCAAGGAACACAACAGCCCGTCATGACGTCACTATCGCAACAAGGAAAACAACAACCTTTCATCACGTCACTCCCGCAACCAGGAACACAACAAACTTTCATCACGTCACTACCGCAACCAGGAACACAACGGTCTGTTTTCACCTCACTATCGCAACCAGAAACACAACAACTTGTCATTACGTCACAATCGCAACCAGAATTACAACAACCTATTATCATTTTTCTACGGAACCAAGAACACAACAAGCTGTCTTCAAGTCAATATCGCAACCAAGAACACAACAAACTGTCATCACGTCACTATCGCAACCTGGAACACAACAAACTGTCATCACTTCACTACCGCAACCAGGATCACAACAACCGGTTATCACGTCACTATCGCAACCTGGAACACAACAAACTGTCATCACTTCACTACCGCAACCAGGATCACAACAACCGGTTATCACGTCACTATCGCAACAAGACACACAACAACCTGTCATCACGTCACTACCGTAACCAGGAACAGAACAACCTGTCATCACGCCACTATTGCAACCAGAAAAAACACAGCAGAAAAGTTTGCTTTTTACAGAAGTGTTTAATTTATTTCTTTTCTGTTTTTCAATCTTTGATAAGTATTGGCTTTCTGGAAAAGAAAACACAATTTTTTACGTTTTCATTGTTTAACAAATAAAACAATCTAATCTTGACCATATACATGTAGTATGCTGTACTGCATGTAAAGTGGTAATATTTCATAACTGTGACTTGCCAAACCTAGGCATTACATAGTTACTTTTATATTATTATAATGCAGCCGAGGAAACAATCTTTGCATGTCATATCTTTTGTTATCAGTTTATCTCAATAAAAGATTTTTTTTACATGTTTTGCAGTAGATTACTGAATTATAACGGTGAGATATATTCTGATAATTTCACAGTGAAATTATCAAATATAATTTCTCAGTAGACGAACAAAATTCAATTATATACTTATAAATGAAATATTGAGAAATATTGATGCAATAAAACGCGTATTTTCATTTTTTCGTATTTTTACTGTAAAAATTTATTTTTCACTGGTGTCTTGCCGGACTAATTTCTCCTAAACTCAGCCAATTCACAAAATTAAAGGGGAATTCTTTAAAATCGAAAGGTCAAAAAAGAGAGAAAAAGTATATTAAAGAAAAAAAATCAAGTTTTTTCTATAATTATATGGGATTTATTTTCATTGAGTGGTATGAAAATTTATATGCCGCGAGTGGATATAATTTTAATAACTTTCTATGTTTGGCAGAATAATAAAATATTTATCATTAATGAACTAATTTTTCAGCTGTAATGTAGTTAATCATAATAAAAAATGTTCGTGATAACTGTAGCTTGTCAATATTCATGAACGATGTGCTAAAAAACAACTATCATCTAAAAATAATCATGGAATTATATTTTGCTTCAACATTGTGACGTCATTATTTGATGGCGTCAATAACACAGACGTATTACGTTACGCGGCAAAAGAACAGTATAATCGTATAAAAATCGTTAAAAATAATGCAATAATCAAAACTTTTGTTTGGTTTTTATGTAAGATCAAATAATATTTCAACGCCAGCTATCATATTTTCACTCGTGGCTACACCACTCGTGGAAAATATTACATCTAGTGTTCACTCGGTGAAATGTTTTTTTATCTAACACTGAAACTAACAAATATCCTTAATATAATCAGAAATAAAGTATATCTCATTTTTATTTGTAAAAAAAAAGTATTTGAATGGTGCAGAATACACAATTTACAAACAAAAATAATAACCACTAAATCTAACTCCTAGCTGATGCTGAAACATGTACACATTTTAAACAAAATAGTCAAGAAAACAATAAAATAAAGTGTCAATAAAGTCACCTTAGCTGTAAATAACTTTCTTTCATCAAAACTTATATTGATAAGTCACAAACATTTTACTGTGAAAAGTGTTGTCCAAGTGACTTGAATATTATGCATTTATTATCATTTGCATACAGGGCTACAATCAGCTTTGAAAACAGTTAGTATGCATCCTTGAATGTCTCTGGTAAACACAAACTATTACGAGGCATGAAGTTTAAGGCCCATTCACTGAAGTAATCGGTACATCCAAAATCGCTACCTTTGTTTACAGTCATTAAGCATGTTCTTATGTACGTGTTTACCATTCTCATTTTCTTCATAATACTCGGGATGGTGAGGACACCATTTGAGCATCTAACAAATCATGTCTAAATATAGAACGTCAAACTGTGACTCTGTTGCATAATAACACACACTTTCGGTTTATCTATGTTCAATAGGGAAAAATGCGGGTCGTGTTAGAATACAAAATAAACGACAGAAGGCAATCCGTAAAATAACCATAGCAAGTTGTCTATTTTTCGATTTCATTCTGTAGATTATTTTGCATAATTTCCAATGAAAAAGTCGTTTCTTCAAATAAGAAATACGTCTTAACTAGTAACTCATGCTCTCTTCTAAGTCTCCTCCATATTTGTCCCACACCTAGATTTCTGCTGATACCACCAAGTTCTGCCATCACTGCATTGATGATTGCATCAGTGCAAGATTCTTATTTTCGGCTATGTAGCTTAAGGACTTGCATATGATATTGTATTGTTCTAACACTCACTGAGAAAAGAAATCTTTAAATAAATAATTAGCAAGAAAAAATACTTTGGTGGAACCCAAATTCTTGTAACATAAAATAGCATGCGGCATAACTTTTCAAGTTTGAAGCAATTCACAAGAAACTGAGCATCTGTCATACGTTTTTTAAAAAAGAAACCTACGAACATAAACAAAATAGACAACATGCCCGATATATTTTGTTACTGTGTAATAATTACAATAAACACGCCATGATTGTGGGTATGGATGATTATATTCTTACATTCCTCATGTTTTACAAATTGTGTACCTTAAAAAGTAAAACTTAAATTGTTCTGTTTTATTCTGATTAGAATATTGAATACATACATAGTGAGCAAACTATTTCAGTCCAGACTCATCTTCCGTTGTAAAATTTTAATTTTTGAACCAGGACCCTAGTGAACAAGGGGTTCATAAATTATTATTGACAATACTATTTTAAGCAAATATTTAGCTACCTCCTCCAAAGCCCATGGTTCATTCCTATAGCAGCTGCAATTTCTTTGCTGTTAAACCCTTTTTTAAAACTAGTTCTGTATCAAATCTTGTAATTTGTCTTTCCTCATTTCTCATGCTTAAAACTATTTTTTAAATTAAAATGAACGACATGAACATTGCATAAAGTATGTTGTATTTTGCTTGAAGCATGTCACATTTAGCAAAAAGCATTTCGGATAATTGCATATCGCATTTTGCATAAAGCATTATTAAAGCATTGCGCCCAAGCGTTCCATAGAAACGTTCCATTGAATAACAATATTTTAATTCACCCCCAACTTTCATCGTTAATTTAATTATTATTAAACTTTTAATACTATATACAGTAGAATTTTAACTGTACACTGTCATTCAATAATTATTTCCATTTTGTGTATTGATTGACCTAAATTGTGACAAACTTTTTTTAACAGGACCCGTATGTAAACAATGACGTATTCTTTACGGATTTAGCTCAATACAGGATTGGAGCAGTACCTCTAGACGCTTGCAGAAATCATGATCACAAAATAGACAAATATCGTTTTTTTTGCCGAATTTTACATTTTTCCTTGATTATCGTACTTGATTCGGTGTGAAAAGATGAATTTGACCTGTTAAAGTTCATTCCGTTGGGTAAAAAGACAAGATTTTAGCATTTTATCATTCAAGCGCCTTGTCCGGTATATACCGGAATACGGTATTTAGTGTGGTGCTCCAATCCTTTTTTAGTCACAGCCATTATTTACCACCTTCGCATTTCTATAGTCCGTTTCAAACTGGCATCGCGAAACGAATACAATTTTTTGTGTGTGTATATATCTTCCTTCAGGCTGTACATAGCTGTTTGTTTGCTTTTTTTTCTTTTTTCATCTCTCATGATAATTATCAATTTTCGTCTTACAAATACAAAAAAATAATGTTACACTGTGTGTAGAAATATTTAATAAAAAACATGGCATGTGTTAAAATTTACAAATTTTCACCACTGTTATGTAAACTCATGTGTTATATTAATATGTATCTTGAGTAAATAAAGATATGTTCTGTTCTGTTCTGACAGTCGAGAATTGTATTCGTAATATGAACTCATCCGATTGTGTTAGTTCTAATTAATTTGTGTATTTCTCTCGTTAATTGTATTTACAGACCATCTAAATGGAAATAATTGTCGAGTATCGGTACAGATAGTTTAATGTTAAATATGTATATGAAGTTCTGAATTGTGTATCATTTTAAAGCTCTGATATATTTCTAACATGATTTGCTTAAATAAACTTCTTTTTACTGAACTTTCGAGATAATATACGTTTTTTTTCCGTGATGTAATATGCTCTACACTAAAACATTGTCATAAATGTTAATAAGATAGTCATAAAGAAATACGAACAAAAATTTAATATAGACAAAAAATTGTATTTTTAAAACTTTTTCTTAATTTTTTTATTTATTTGAAATTTCAATACAGTAATTGTAAA